AGTTTTGATCACATTATATGCGACTATCTTACGGTGCCTGGCTGATTACTTTTGTCTTGTAGATTATCAGTCTGGTAAATGAAGGCACGTGTTGTTAATAAAAGGTGATTGAGAAACTGCAGGTACTTTCTAGAATGAGAAGTAATGCGAAGGGCTGGTAGCCCGGAGAGTTTGGAGAAATGGCGGTGGTTGATGAGTTAATTTCTTGCTGAAGATCTCGCTAAAGTGAGATTTCTGGAAGAGCTGATGTTTTGGGCTTCTTGTTATAAATGTATTAGCTACACATGGTGACAGTTATTAAATTGGATATAGCCTTCTATATTTCAAAATCTGGACCATTTGTTTCCTCTGAACCAAAACTAACTGGATTTAAAAAGAAAAAGAGACGGGCCAACAGCGTGATATGCCTAATGTGTCACTCTCCAGGAGCGTGGCACCGAGAAGTGGGTGGTCTGGATGCTGGTCTAGATGCCGTGGGGCTGACCTGTGTGTGGACCATGGAAGGCTCACAGAGTCTTTGTCGCAGATTTTGCTTCTGAGTTACAGTGGATGATTCCGTTTTTTCCAGCACAACATTTTAAGTCCAGTCGCGTCTTCCTGTGATGGGTAAAGCTTGCTTCACTGATTTTTGCACATTAGTGATAACTGAAAAATATTTGCAAATGTAAAAGAGGTAGAAAACTGGGACCCAGAGACATCCTTTGAAAATCCCTGCCAAACATTTTACTCCTGTAAAAAATATTTAAAAAGTAAGTCAGCCCACTTGTATTCTGCAGAGGGGAGGGAGCTTCTTGTTGCCCCTGGGGTGTGGTTGTGTTGATGTCTGCTGTGCCATGCCCTGGGTATCTGGATTTAGATAATGTGGCTACAAAATAACGGGTCTGCTGGGCCTGCCTGTGGAAACTGTAATTTGGAAGCATCACTCTTAACTACCAGATCATGTTTTTAACCTTTTAAAGTGGCAGTTTCTTCTAATGCACTGGGCTATGGAAAATGAGATTAAATCAGTGTTTCTGCTGTGGAAAACGGGCTGGAAGGAAGGTGGGAGACATCGAATGTGATCTGTGTTCTTCAGGACTGTTCAGTTAGAGGGACGCCTTTTATTTTCATAAGAACAAAAATAAGAATTGACCCCTTCAGCCTGCAGACCCTGGTAATTGTTATATCCTCCCACGTAATTTATTGAGTGTTAGGGGTTTTAATTGATGTCTGAAGCACAGATTTATGTGAGACTTCTTGCCAGTGGTCTCACTCTAAAGTCAGATAAACATCTTTCTTCTTCTAACTCCCTCCTCTCCCTCTTTTTCTTTTCCCTTCTCTTCTTGTGGTAGTGTGCTCTGACATCATTCCCTCCTTGGTACTGTTTCTGGTGTGCCTTTTACAGCTTCTGTGACTCTTACGTAGAGAAAGCCTACTACATAGTGTTAGGCTATTTTTCAGCTCCCCCTTGAACAGCCCTCCTTACTTCCTTGTTTTCTGGACAGAGGTGACTGTGTTTTTCCCAGTTGGTGTCTGGTTCTACATCGAAAATGTTTGTTGGTTGTTAGCAAAACAGTGAATCCTTACCTGCTCAGTAGAAACTTGTTTTCATTTCCTCACTGCACCAAAGGTGACGGTGTCAAGTTTATAAGGTGTCGAAGATTAGGTTGGTAATAGCTCGCAGAAAGTTTTTACATCTTATCAACTAAGAATCCCCAGTAACTTTCCTTCCTTAGAAGGCAGACGCTATTGAATGTACCTAGTAAGACAGTGTCTTCATGTGAAATTTGAGAAGCTTCTACTTAGCCAGTTGGAATAGCAACAGAGAAGAGCTTTTTAGACCACGTAACATGTCATTGCTCTGCGCCTGGATTAAAGTAGAGGAAAAGAATGAAAACCTAAGCTAGTTGGAGCTCAGTGGTTCATCAGAACCTTGTTCCTTTGCTAGGATGCAGGCACTTCTCAGCTTCTTTGTAGGCTGTCCTGATGCTGGTCCTTGTCACCTTAGGCATGTTGCTGATCTGAATGTCTTAGGTTTGATTCTCCTCCTGAAAATTAGGATAGCGCACACGCAAAGGAATAGTGTAGAAGAGGTAGTGTTGTGTGTTTCCAGGCTTTTAAGGATTACAGTAGAGTAAGTGAAAGAAAAATGACAATACAAATTCATGTGTGGGGATCTGTCATGTGTTGTTTAAAAAGAAAGGTTGTGTGTGAGTCACTTGGAAGCTGAGTGTTTGATTTGAGATGTTGAAGTGCTGTGAGTTTATCTAAGCTGCTGATGTACTTCAGGGAGTTAAAACAGATTGATCTTTGCAGAAGAGCTTAGAAACCTTTAGAGTTGTGCTATAGCACAGAGTAGGACATTCACAGAGATGCTGCTTGATCTGGGTTTTGAACTTGGAATGGAGACGCGCGAGCACCCGCTTGGCCCCTCGCCTGGCACAGTGCCTCACAGGACAGTGTTTCCTGGGCAGACGGAGCCGCTCTGCTGCAGGTGTCCGTGGAGCAGCTGCCGTGTACACCCTGCATGTGCAGCCCTGGCCCATGCGCTCCACACCAGCTCACTGCCCATGGCTGCATCTGTGCACCATCCTCAGGATATTGCTTCCTCCAAGAACTGGCTATTTTTGTATAAGGTAGTTCTTTCTCGTGAGGAGGAAAAGTTAACGCATATTTTCTGAGAATTGCACGTGTACATAGGGAAAGGTGCTGACGCTCCACATGGATGTTGACGCAGACCCAGAGCACGCCCATTTGGAGTGGCTGTCATACTGTGGGACTAGAAAAGGCATTTTCCAGGGTTTGAACATTTCCTCTGTCCAGAATTTCCTACACCTTTTTAATTAAAAGTACAGGTAGTTTAAGGTTCTTTTTTGTTTTATTCAAAAGCTGGAAGGTATTAATCAGCTATTTTCTGTAACATCTGTCTATGCAGGAAAAGACTCCAGTGGCAGCTGCCACAGAGGGGATGGGGTCAGTTTGAATTTGTAAGGTTCTGACTTTAGCTACTTTGTGAAATGTCCTCTTCGGCTCACTTAAAAAAGTTAAGTTTTATCGTTAGGGAAATGTGAATAATGCTGGGATTTTAGAATTTTTGAGATTTGATTCAGCAAGCTATTTGAGCACTTACTGATTGGTGGCATAACGAAAAGAACATTCTGTTTTCAGTCCATTGTCAGTCTTGTAGTGTGCTCATTCCGCTTGTGGGAATCCTTGGTAGTGTGATTCTAGGAACCCTTAGTTCATGTTGCAGCAATGACCTCTCCCATGTTATTGGTGTCTTTGTTTTCTCAGGTGCCTTTTCACAGCCTGGCTTTTACTTCTTCCTGCTGACAGAGTTGGCCGAGCGTGTGGGGAGGGGGTGGGAAAGAATGGGGTGTACTGAGACTACAGCTAGAGGGGTTTTCAGCCCCCGGGAGGCACAGTTGAGGGGAAGATGGGTGTAGGGAGGTGTGGCTAAGCTGTAGAGCCTTTTCAAAGGTGCAGTGCAAACTAATTTCCTTCTAAAGGAGCAGGGGCGGGATTCTGGAATGTGTTGCTTATCCTTGAGCAGTTCACTCCTGTTAAAATTGGCCTTTGTCAGGGCTGCGGATGCAGTTCAGTGGTGCTGCACCTGCTGCACAAGGTCCTGAGTTTGATCCCTGGTATTAAAAAGAAATTGACCTTCATCAGAAATTAACAATTGTCTGAGTATGGATTTTCTGTCTTTCACACATCTGAAGAAATGAACAGGCAGCTCTGTTAACTGTGGCTCAGTCACGCAGTGTACCTCACATCCGCTCCCATTAACGCCTTCAAGAGTGCAACTAATACTTAGTAACAACCTACTCTGTCCAGAACGGACTCCTTCCCCTGATCGTAGCTCTCAATTTAAAGTGCATTAAGTAGATAGAATCAGTGGTTGCTTTAAATGGTACTCATCCGGTTACACTTTTTAGGTGCAAATAAATCTGGTTTTCCAAAAGTAGAAAGGCAACAATAAATACAACAATAATATATTCTTAACATTTACATTTTATTTGTAAGGTGAGATCCAAAAGGAAAAGGATACTAACATTAAACAAACTTTTAAAAATGACTCTGGCTATGAAAAGAAGTTACTGTGGAAAGTTTCTCAGTCGAGGCTGCTATTGTAAGGTCCTGTGCAGATTACTGATCCCCCAAGAGCGTCCTTTGGGCCTCTCCTTAAGGAACAACAGCCAGAAAGAAAATGTTGAAGGTTTCCAATTAACTCAGATTTTAACTTAATGCAAAGGACCCAATAGTGTTTTTACTTTGAAATTCGGTTTTATCCACAAGATAGGGAAAACTTGATAATACAGGAATTGGCCCTGAAGCAATCAGGTGGACAAAGGGGCACTGACTTGATGTCAGAGGACCCCCCAGCCCAGGCCCTCGGAGTCGCAGGAGGGAGGCCGAGAGAGTGGCACAGATGCAGGGAGCTTGCTGCTCGGTTGGTGGCGCCTATGGGTGTGGACTCAGAGGTTGCTCTCTGTCCTCTTCTCCCTGGTATTTTATTCCTTTGTCGTCCTGCTAGCCAAGCAGAGCATGAGTTCAGTAACGGACACAGTGGAGTCTTTTTTTTTTATGTTCCAAATGTGATGGGTTTGATTTTGCTCTGAAGCAAAACTGAAGACTCCACTATAGCACAGAGACCAGTATATTAAAAGGTCATGAAAAAGTGGCCTGGGACATGCAGGGCGCAGTGTACAAACTGGGGGGTGGAGGGTCGGGGGTCGGGTCCTTTCCTTTAACGTGACACTACATGGTCGCTGAGGAACACGCTTAAATGAACACTGCACGACTCAACCAAACGTGGCACAAACCTGACAACTTCCAGGCCTGCCTTCAAGAACCACCTGCAGGATGGACTTGCGATCTCTAGACTTGTGTGAGGAGGATTACAATTCTTTGGAAGAATAAAAAGTTCACACTTTTAAAATTTCACAGAATTTTAAGGCCAGAACATAGTGGATTCATTTCTCTTCACTTGCAGGAATAAATCTGAGGCTTTACTCAAAACCACATTATGCTTCCAGTTCGAATCCCAACCCAACTTTGTGACCTCCAGCGTTGAAGTTCTTCCCATCGATTAAAGCTGACAGGGTCAGTTTGACTCCCGGTCAGAGGGTCTGAGTGTAACCCAGCCCAATCAGGCTGGCATTATTTACTTTAGCACAGAGAGGGGTTCTACAATCCAGCTTGTATTTAGCAGCAATGCCAAAACGGGTGTTGTTGCTGCCAGCCGTCCATGCAAGGTTTATTGATGTTTCAATCTTTTCATTAACTTTCTGGTAGATAGAACCTCCAAATTCAGTGCCATCGTTCACGTGAGTGTGCAGCTGAAAGTCTGCAACCTTGTAACCCAGAGCGAAATTATTCTGAGACAGTTTGGATTTGGCTGTGTCAAAACTCATCTGATAGCCAGCAAGCCAACCTTCAAAGGCCAACACAGCCCAGCCATAGATGGTTGGTCCAGAAAAATCTATGTCAACACTGAAACAATCCCATTTATTGGAGGCCTTCAATTTCCCACTCGTTTTTCCTGTGTTCGGTACAAACATAGTATCAAGAGTCAGTTTCAAACCTTCTGCCAACTTATTCTCCAAAGAGATTTCTGTCCCCAGAGTGTTGTCTGTGTTCCATTTCTGGGTGGAGGTAAGTCCATAGTTACAGACTTTGTATTTGGTCTCTAGGTTGCCTGATGCTTTCCCCGTATCAGTGTAAGCATGACCTGAAGTAGAAAATTCCACTCCACTCCAAGATTGGGTTTTCAGGCCTATTTTGACCATTCCAAACCCATATCCTTTGTTGAAAACATCCTTGGCAGGGTCACAGTAAGTTGGTGTATTACACATTATTGAAATATATTTATCCAGATAATGTCCTCTCTCAAATGTCCTCTGCTCTCAAAGTCCTCTCCTCCAAACCCAGGGCCCGTCCCGCTCCGTCAGAGCAACGCTGAAGGTCTCCTTCGTGTCAACACCATCAGCCTGCTTGGCCTCCCTCCCGGACTCTGCTCCTGCGTTCCCCTACCTCCCAGGAATGCTTCTGTGCCTTAGTGTGGAGCCGAAGTCCACTGAGGGTCTGTGTCAGGAGGGCCGCTGCCAACCACCGGGCCCCTCCACACTGGAGGCTTAATCTGACTGGGTCACAAACCCAAAAGTCGGTGAGTGAGGCTTGGGCCAGCAGGCCGATGTGGCGGCCGCACAGTGCTGCACTGAGCTGTTTCCTGTTAAGTCAGTGGATGCGTGGAGAGTGTAGCTTTTTTAATTGACCTAAACCAGAGTGGTCATTGGATTCATTCTCCAGGCATGATTCTGTCTCCCCTGCCCATGGTCAGGGAGATTAAGTATAGGAGGAGACATTGTCAGTCTTGTGTGGTGCCCATGTACCCTCCGTGGCCCTGTCTCAGGCCTGGGCGAAGGAAGTGAGTTGGGACTGGCTGCCGCGTGAATGGCAGGTAGGCAGATCCACACCTGCTCTGTCTATTGGCTACGTCTTTCTGAGGTAGAACTTGCCTCATGGTTTTGAGGATCTGACTTGTTTCATGGACCATCTTCCTGGATCCATAGTATTTCATTGTGTGGAAAATGCTTTGTAGTGTTAGACAAAGGCATTAGCAAAGCTTGGCAGCTGCGAGGTATGCTACGTGCGACTCTGTGGTGTGGCGTCAGCATCCTTGCTGTTCTAGACCTCTCATCTACTGCATCTTGAACTCACTGTTCCTCTTTAGTTACCTTTGAAATAAGAGGCAGCTCTGTGCTCCTGAGCAGAGCTTCAGGTATTGACCCAGTGTCTGTTTTACCTTTCACTTTTCTGTTCACCCTTTTATGTTGAAACAGGCTCAACTTTTCATCAAACAAATAGGTGGTGTATATACTACTCACTTGTAAATCTCGAGCGCGTCTGGGACATACTGCTACCATCTCCGGCAGGACCTTCCACGTCACCCCCCACCGTCCGAAAGTACAGGGCCTTTGAGCATCTCTCACCGACCCTCGCACCCATGTACCCACCGCTGTCCTTCAGGGAGTCACAGTTAATACATTTTCAGAAAGGTGGGAATTCAAGGCACAGAAGCAAAGTTTGCACAAGTAACTCTGAGCTTCTTATTTAACTTTAGAAACTCTTGGAGTACATTTCAACTGGAGCCATTTCTTTGCAAATAAGAAAGTGAAATCATTTTCTGTTCTGTTGTATCCCCGAATGCTATTATTAGGAAAAAAAAAAAGTTACAATGGAAAAATGTAAAAGTTGCTAGAAATCTACAGACACAAGAATGGAAAATTGAGGTACTTCATGATTTCTTTTTACATATCATTATCTTTTCTTAAACAAGGTATAGTGAATGTGTTCATTGTTAAAGATGTAGAAAATTTACAGATGTGCAAAGGAGCCTAAGTCATGTAGAGTCTCGAGTCTCAGAGGAAGTCATGGTGGAAGCGGGCAGTACCCCTGCTATGATGTGGTTCTTGCTGGTCCTTTCCCATAGCAGCTTGGAGGCTCTTCAGGGAAACTGAATTCAATCATGCCCAGGGCCTACTTGAGCTGGTCAGGCTTCTGAGGCCCTGGTGATCTGGTGTATGCTATGTGGTCCTTCCTACACCACACCCCGGCATTTATCTATTTTGTATTTGTTTGCTTGGTGTTTGTCTTTCTCTCACCGGCGTGTGAGATCCATGAATTTGGGGTCTGCATCACAGGAGTATCCTTGGCAAGCACCTGGAATTCTGTGGGAGCTTAGTAGGGGTTCATTAAACAACTGATGAGCAGATGCCTCTCCAAGCCCTTCTCTGCGTAATTACGTACATGCACGTCCTCTTTTCCGTTCTCCACTCAGTCCCTGCCTAGGCAGTGTCTTTTCATCTTAAATTAAGAGATTGTAGCACACTTTTTATAGAAAGCATAGGTTGCTGTTTATAATATTTATAAGATGTACAGAGACTTCCTCTTTGAAATCAAAAGGGTCTGACTACTGCACTGTTTTTACAAATTTAAAAAATATTGGGCCTGATTTAAGTCTCAGTTTTTAAACTGCAGCATTTTCTCTTGCTTTATGCTTTGAAATAAGTTTAATATAACACGAAAATTGTAAAAATGATAGAGTTCAGTTATACCCTTCACCCTGCTTCTTTTAAGATTACTAATTTTCATAACTATGGCACAAAGTAGGAAATTCACACTGGCACTATGCTAAAACCTAAAGTACAGTGCTTATATGAATCACACCAGTTTTATTCTCTTATCTTCTGGGCTGCAGTCCGGTGCAGGCTGTCACAGTGTGTGCCTCTATGGTCTGCTCCGGCCTCTGACGTTCTTCAGTACTGTGACTCTTCTGTTGCGTATGGATCGATTATTTTTCAATATCTCAGTTTTGGTTGGTGTAAAGCACTCTTACTACAAAACAGAGGCTGCACAGTTTTCTCAGGGAGTCTACAGAGGCAATGTCAGTCATCACGTCTGGAGGGCGTGGCTATGAAATGTGTCACCTTTGTCACTTGGCTAAGGTAATGCCTGCTTAAAGTCTGCCCTGTAAAGGTACTGTTTTCCCCTCGTAATAGATACATATCTTGGGGAGACACGCCCAGCTAACTTTCATGTCTCTCCTTAAGTTATCTTCCACTGATCTTTCTTCCATCAGCTGATCTTGCCTGCAACAGTTATTAATTACTGTGCTGTTTGCCTGGTTGTTGTTTTGGGTTTTCTTCATTACATTTACATTTGTTAATTTGAATTCTTCTATAGAGAAGAGCTCTTCCTTCTCCTCCATTGGTATATTCATTATTTTTTATGAAAGGGGAATAATACATATGTAAACCCAAAAAGTAATGTTCATATTTGTATAACTCTTCATTCTACCCTGACATCATTTGGTTAACTCTAGCCTCCTATATCTTTTATAAAAAGTCAACTAAAAGATGGACTTTAACCCGTCTAGGAAATACCTTCTCAGACTCCCACAAGTTAATGTTTGATTGAATAATTAGAGATTATAGTCTAGACAAATTGACACATAGCACTGACCTTCACACTTAGTGTATGCAAAATGTAGTTGGAGAATTGTTAATATTTATAGACTGATCATAAAATTTATGGACACGATAAGTACAGAATAGGAGTTGGCAGCATTTCTGATTGTCCCTTCTATTTATAATTTATTTATTGCTTACCTTATCTCTGGACTCCTGGCCCTCTGACCCTCTGTCACCAGCACTTAGTAAAGTGCCTGGTACAGTGATTTGCTGTCAAGTACATAAAATGAATAAGGCTGTCCATGCTACTATTCAGTTATCACCAGCTCTCCCTTTTGCCAGCATTTCCATTGTGAGAAGAATGATGTGGAAGGCCCAATTTGGAAAGAGAAGGTAGAGAAAGATTAAAAGAGAGTGATAGATTAAATCCTGGATTTCAAGGAAATGCTTCATATTCTTTACTTGGGTTATGTCTGAGTTACTTTTCTCATTGCTGAGACAAAACCCAATACGCAGTGTTAGAGGAGGAAATGTTTATTTTAGCTCACAGTTTGTAGAGACTTCAGTCCACAGTCAGCTGGCTCCAAGGCAGGGCGGCATGGCAGAGGGGCATCGCAGAGAAAAACTGTCCATGGCAAAGCAGGGCAGGCATAAGGCAGCACGCAGCAAGCAACGACAGCAGCAGTAGCAGCCGTGTGCATCTCCCTTTTATCCCTTTCTGGCTTCCCGCCTTTTGGGTAGTGCCACCCACACCCAGGATGGGCCTTCCTTAATCCTAGCGTCATACACTTAAGCCCCGCATCACATCCTTGATCTCAGTATCACATACCCTAGATATGAAAAAGCCCCAGATGGCCGCATGAGGCTTTGGGGGGAACCTCTAGATGCGTGTCTTGATGGGTTAATGTTGAAATAGTGTACTGCCCCGCTTCCCTTTTTCTCCTAGTTCAGTGCTTGGTTAGTTTTGTATCTGATTCCTCAGTTTAAAATTTCAAAATCAGTTAGTTGAAGACGGTATCAGATAGTAACAGTCCCTGCTCTTCTAGATTTGGAGTAGCAGGGTGCTGCAAGCTCATTTATTCAGTCACGTTATAAAGGTGTCTGCTGTGCCTTGGGTTGGGGCTATTGAAAGGGAAAACGGGGACTCTGTTGTGGAAAGGTGCTGGTGCACTGCTTCTCCCACTGAGTAACAGAGGGTTCTGTTGTGAAAGGCAAGGCTTTGTGCAGTCAGTAGTGTTACTTACCTTTGGTTACAATGTTACTCGTATGTAGAGACTGGTAGCTAGGAATAAGCCTCTTATGTTTATGTCTCTTACAGCTATAAACAAAAGTCTGTAATGAAATATAAAACTACAAAGCCATTGATATCCAAATTTACTGCCTTAATTTAATGTGACAGATGATGTTGTTTTGCTAAAGCAAAAGCATTATTTGCAGTACAAAATATGGCTTTTACTCACACAGGCCAGCGTTGGAGTCTGGTGGCTGATTCAGTCTTCCCACCAGAAGATTTGTCCAGGAACTGCAGAGTCTTGGTTCTCGTAGAGGACGGTGTGATTTCACACGGCCTTCTGCGGCCCCACGTGAATAGTGCACGCAGCACATCTGCCTTGGTTGCTTTCTTGTTAGTGCCAGGGAATGAGAGTGGTAAGTCTGCCTCATTTTGACTCAGAATGCAGTACACTCTGGTGCCTTGGAAAAGAGGACTTAAAATGGTTCCTGACATCTTGTGGATCCCCAAAACATGGCCGCAAGCCCTCTTTGGCTCAGTAGGAAGAGGAGGTGCGGACACACTGTTGGCATATGGTGTGTGCTCATGGTTGAACTGGACGTGTTTGAGGTGCTGGGTGGTGGAATGCATTAGCCCTCAGGTTGGAATGGTAAGGGTGAGATGGAGTTGTCAGGCGACAGACAAGCTGGGAGGACCCTTCATGCAAAGCCAACGGCATGTCCAAGGTCTTAGGGCCTTGAGGCGTGGACGGTGTAGTACAAATGTATACATACGTGGTTTTCATTACTT